CCAGGTGGGTGCCCGCCTCTTGTGGTCCTGGGCAAGCTCCCGGGAGCCGCCATCCTGGTCCCGGGAAGAGGGGGAGGGCTGGGGGGCATCGGGTGGGCGGCTTGATCCATGCCAGGTGCAGGGTATGCTGGCTGGGTGCTGTCAGGCTTGCACCTGGCACAGGCACCGTAGCCAGCCCGTGCCCCTTTAAGTAGTCCGGGGCCGGGAGGGGGGCATAGAGTTTCCCTGGTGTTGGCCAGAGTGGCCACCAGGGAAACCTGGGGAGGGCTAGCCTCCCACTAGTTTGAATTAAGGGGCTACACACCCCTTAATTCGAACTAGCTAGTTCGAACTAGGCTTAATCCTCGTAAAATGAGGTTTTCCTAGTTCGAACTAAGCGCTCTGCTAGTTCGAATTAAATTAAATTCGAACTAGCGGAGCGCTAGTGTAGCGCCTATTAAAGTTAGTTCGAACTAACGTCCGTTAGTTCGAACTAACTTTGTAGTGTAGACATACCTATACAGACTAACATGGCTACTCCACTGCGAGTAATTTTATATTGAAACTGCCTCTTAGATAAAGACAAATAATAATGAGACTGAAAAGGGATATACTTAACAAGGCCAAAAGTACCTTTACCACAAAGAGACCAACCCAACCCAACCTAATGCAAACTTCCCACCTCCACTGTCCTCCTGTAAATTGCTCATTCATTAATTTCCTCAAAACCAGTATGTGTATAATTACCTAACTTTAGTTCATTTTTTGACTTAGTATATGAAATGGCTGTTTAATAGTATGTCAATATAAGGTCATAAGACATTGAGTAATATGAAGTGACTATAGGAATGTAACAGTTCCTGTACAGAAGAAAATTATTGATACATTAAATGTTCTATCCCAATTCCAGCAGTGGCTTCTATTTAGTGATTTGAAGAAGGTACAAACACAAATGTATTCTGTCACCTGGGCAACACAGAGCTCTGATTCCGCAATGCAACAGTGGATGAGCCTGACTTCAGTGGACTTTGAATCAGGCCCTCAGTGGAGGACTCCTGACAGGCCATCATCTTCCACTGGCCAACCTTAGGCGAAGCATGACATTTGATTTCTTGGATTGCTCGTATTATTAGCATGAATATAATTTCTGCACTCCACTTCCATCCCCCAAACATCACT